TATATATCTACCTATATTGTATTTCAACGCGTTGGAGTGGGTTACCAGCGTCACTCGCTGAACAGATATATTTGGCTTTCAGGCACAGATGAGTAGACACCGAAGCGCGCTAGAGATCCGGAGCGCAGAATAGTTAGTTTACCTTTCGGCCTGCGTGCCATGATTATGTATTGACATTACTTTGAGTTTGTTTAGTTAGTTTAGCCTGTGCATCTGAGTTTTCCAGCTCAGATGTGGCATAGCACCCCGGCTCTATGTTTAGAATGCTTCATTTGACATCTATTTAATAGAATTGCTTTCGTATTATAAGATCAAAAAGTTTTCAAAATTTCGGGGTGTTACAGTTGGTATCAGAGGCGAAGTTTGATCCTAGGAATAAGACTCTTAAGACCAGATCTTTAGAACATTAGGCTTAAACTCTAGGAGTTCTGTAGGATAGGACTTAGGAATCATAGGACGCGCGGTAAGATACGTGAAACCCCTAAACTTTTCCCTCACACGAATCCACACCTAATTTAATGAGAACTCCCCATTCGCTTATCGCATCAAGATAAGGGTACAACACTCTGACTCAACGTTTACTGTGAACATTTGGCTCTATAGATCAGCATCATAGCACCAAGCAGAAGGCCATCAAGGACTCCGGAACCCGCCACACACGACCCCCTAGCCCAGACCTTGCAACAACTAACCCAGGTCGCCCAAACACTGAGCGACGTAGCTCTCCGCAACAACAGGCCACAACCACCTCCACCAAACACAAACTCAGAGGTCGCCCGACAAGTTTCAAATCATCGACCACCCACCTTCTCGGGAGAGGAAGATCCTGCCACCCTTGAGGAATGGATTCGAACCTTCGACAAAATTCTAGGGATAGTAGAATGCCCAGAAGAGCGTCGTGTAGAGATAGCCCCGTTATACTTCGGACACGAGGCGGACCTCTGGTGGATCCATGAGGGACCCACTTACAGACAGGAACCAAGATTCAACTGGGAAAGCCTAAAAACACGACTGCGAGAAAGATTCTACCCAGCCTAAAAACCTCCACCTAAAGCAAGGAACAACTACCGTCATGGAATACCATAAACGATTCCTCGAACTAGCACGCTTCGCACCAGAGTTGGTCCCCACAAAGGCAACCAAGATAGAACGATTTGTATCAGGCCTCAACTTCGAAGCCTGAAAAGCACTAGTGATAAGCGGACCCCGGACCTCAACGAGGCTTACTCCAGTGCCGCCAACCTCTACCGAATCCAATTACTACAACGAGGGGTTCAGGAGCAAATACGAAAAAGGAACATGGGAGGTGGGGCACCTCCTATGAAAAGACTACGGAACGACGTTAACACCAGGCCAAGCAATCCGGCCGCCCCAGGGAAACAACGAAACTAGTACAAGGGGCTTCTCATGCCCAAGGTGCAACAAGGACCACAGAGGCAGGGACTGCATGGGAAATCCCTTGCGATGCTTCAACTGTGGAAAAGAAGGACACAAGTTCTTCCACTGCACCCAACCCTCAATCTCACGCCCTGCAGCCATGGGCCAACGTAGAGGCACGAACAATCAAGAAAATTACAGTGCCCCCGGAAAAGTATTCGTCATGAGCCGCACCCAAGCCGAACTCGAAAACGAGGGCATCCTTGACGAAGAGAACGCAACCCCAGGAGACGAAAATCCCACTAACCAAACGGAAGAAAACCAAGAAGATGAATTTTGTCTAGGGTGACTGACAAATCCCTTGTACCCACCCTCGTAGTAGAATTACTTGTTTAGATTAGCTACTTCAGAATTATTATAAATAAATAAACAAAATCAAAATAATTTAGCATAAAGAAAGAGAGGCTAGAATACCCCGAAAAAACCCACATCAACAAACAAAAAAAAAAAAAAAGGGGGCCAACCAAATCTTCTACCACTAGAAGACAAAGGAAGGAAAAAACCAAAGAGTACACAACAAGAAGGACTAATGCTACCAATGGGAACAGAACCTTGGACCTCTCACTTACAAAGCCAAAGCCTTAACCACTAAGCTATGAGTGTATCTTGAAACCTCAAGGGAACACTGCCTTCTTAAACCCCTATAAATCCCTAAAAACCCCCAAAATCCCCAAATCAAAAACCCTTCTTCTTCTTCCAAACACACAACCCTCTCTCTCTCTTTCCCTCCAAAGACGCCATCACCACCCTCACCTACACAACCTGCCGTCGCACCACTGCCCATCGCCCAGCGGTCGCCGCTCCGCCCCGCCAGCAGACCGCCATCGCAACCGACCGGCGGCACCACGTCCGCACGCCACCGCCACAGCCCGGTAGCCACCCGCCGCTCGCCCACTGCCGCTCACCGCCCGGCTTCCTCCCGCTGCCCACGCAACCGCCTACACCGCCCAGGACCACAAGCCACAAGTCCCAGGACCAGCCACGTTTTGCCATCCAAAAATCGAGCCACGGCGCCGCCACCGGGAACCCTCGCCGGAGCTTCACCAGAAGACCGCCGGAGCCTCGCCGGAAAAAGAATCACCAGAAAACGCCACCAAGACGAAAACTCAAAATGCCGGAAAAACCCCTCGGAATCCGCACCCCGGAATGGAGCAACGCCGACTACACCGTGATCGGAGGTAAAGCCCTCGAACCTGACCAATTCTCTCCGGAGTTGGTCGACATGCTTAACTTCCAAGGGCTCTTGGATATATATCTCACCATTAAAGGGGATACATACCCTGAATTGGTGAAAGAGTTCTATAATCACTTGGTGGCCGTCAAGCAAGGTGATAAACTGAAAATCACCGCTAAGGTCCGAGGCAAGGAAATCATACTTTCCGAGGGCCGCTTGGCCAAGCTCTTAAAACTGACCAGCACGGGTGTGTCGGACTACGACCGGAAGGGGTGGATTGGTACCCAAAACACGGGGTACAAGGACTACCTCGGGTACCTTCTCAGGAAGGAAGAATACTTCACCTCGGCCACCCGGCCAAACCGAAAGTGGCTAACCGCTGAACAAAAGATACTAGTCATGATTGTGACTGACAGCTTGTTGCCCACAGACAACAAAAGGAAGGACGTAGGAAGTTTGGAGTGCACTTTTGCCTACTTCCTAAAGCACAAGATCAAGTTTAACTTACCGGCCCTTATGTTGAAACATATGGAGTTTTGCAACACTAGCAACCGGCTCAGTCTACCTTACGGGATGATCCTAAGTTGGATCATGGAGAAAAAGGGAGTGGACCAGAGCCACACAGAAATCAAACCCGTAAGCAGCATGATTTTCAATGCCCAGAACCTCCGCTGCAATGACATCTACTACACCGAAGGGGGACAATACATCACCCTCGAGGAGGTTTGCCTTAAACCTGAAGAGGAACGAAGGGAGTTGGTTGATCAACTGGATATCTCCAACAAAAAGTTTAAACGGGCAATGCAAGAATGTGGGGAAAAAGGGGGAAATGAGGAACAAGAGGGCGATAGCGAGCCTGACCCACCGGCACCCACACAAGCAAGGGGAAACCCAAGGGTCCAAAACAAATAAACCACCAACAAGCGCATCCTCGCACAGCTCACCCGGCAGAACCAAATTATGGACGAAGGTTTCTCGTCCCTAATCCACACAGGGCGTGCTTTAGATCAGAGGGTGGCAGCAATCGAGACCATACTGGGCACTCGCAGGGCATCCAGCTCGGGAGCAGGAAACCAAGGTAGACCCGAACTTTCCATTCACCACTTCACCAGAAATCCAATCTACCCCAGCCATACCACTTAGACCCTAATTAGGACTCTTGGATATATATATATATATATATATATATATATATATATATATATATATATATATATATATATATAAGGACATAAGAGGCACCTAGAACTCACACCACAATAAACTTCACCACACAAGAATCCCCCAAGAATTCCCATAGGAGAAATCAAGAAAGAAGAAATCTTAAAGAAAGACCCTTCATAGCCAAGGAAATTAATTAAGGCTAAAAGGTAACCCATGACTCAACAAAACCTATTTTCCTTGCTATGATCTCCTTCTTTGGCTCCCTCTATATACTTGTGTCTTGATGAATTTCTTGAGAAAATTTCAATTTTGGTCCACTGACTATTAGAGTTGTGTTAATTGCAACACTTGACTTTTAAAAATGTTAATTGTGTACCTTGACTATGCAATTCTTATCAATTTTGGTCACGCCGGCCAAATTACCGGCCAAATATGACAGGAAAATTTTAACTCATTAAATAAAAGGGGCAAAAACGTCATTTCATGTTATTCAAAACTCCTTCTGGCTTCGTTCTCCTCTTCTCCAACCTCCTTCTCGCTTCTTCTCCAATCTCCTTCTCCTCTTCGCTAATTACATCTTATTCAACACACAAACTGAGACAGAAGTTGCATCTTATTCAATTATAACGTACAATTAAACAGAAGAAATTATAGTGGTGTCATGTTTAGCGAGATCTCAGGCACATATCAAACATTCTCCAAATATTCTCTGCACCTCAAAATGTCGTCAGCGGCAAAGCTCATTCTCCGATATTCTCTGCAAACTCAAATATTCACTCTCCGATATTTCCGACTTTCACCCAGCGGCAAAGCTCACCGTCACTTGGGTCCCAAACCCGTCCTTCATGAACTGGTCACCGCAACAAGCTGGTGACGAGCTCGTTCTTGGTCATTTGGGTTATGACGTCCATGCACATCATCATCACCATTGTCGCCTCTTCCAAGCTCCAGTCCGCTCTACCTCAGGCCATGTGCGAGAAAATCAACCGCCCGCCACCGTGTTTTATGATCTCGTGCCGAACACAAGCGACGTCGTTTTGAATAACCAGACGGCGAGCACAAGGCCGGAAGTGCAGATGCCGTGACTCCACAGACGGAATCGACTTTCACGTGACTGTACTTGCTTTCCCGGAAGAAGAAGCAAAGATTGAGAAAAAAAATGATGAGCTTGTGATCTCGAGTCGAGATCGTCGTGGACGCCTTTGACGAGGCAAGAGTTATCAGAAAAGAGTTGAGGCGAGCCTTCTAGAAAAAAGAAAAAAAAAATATTGAAGAGAAGAAATAAAAAGGAAAATCAGAGCCAAACTAGCAACCTTAAGTATGATCATGTAATTAACACAAAACAAAGAAAACAACAGGCTATATCCTATATGCATGTTGATAATAATTAATTAATAATCAGCAATCTATATGAGAGGCAGATTATATATTTTATTCACTACAAAACAAAGCAAAGAACTGCTAACCTGGCTACGTTTCTGCTCATCCAAGTTTGGCGGTGTTGAGCTTGTTCGAGCAGGAACCTAAAGATCAGCATGGTGTAAAAAGGACCTCAATTCCTAAAGAGAAAATGAAATTTATAAATATCAAGCTTCATGGCTCAAGAAAGTCGAACTTACCTGCATCCCATTCATGAAACTAGGATTTAACGACCCAAACTGAAGAGGGAAGGACTTAGATCCATCTCCTGGGGATATAAACCATGAAAAGACACATGAATATCAACAGGAAGCTAGAACTTGAATCAAATAAAAAAAAAAAAAAAAAAAAACTTTAGAAGTGCCTGGTGCATTAGGGTCTGGACCAGCAGAGGAATTGGAGGCCGACAACGAAGAGAAGAAAGAGATCGAAGAAGAAGCGAGAAGGAGGTTGGAAAAGAGGAGTACGAAGCCAGGAGGAGTTTTGAATAACATGAAATGACACTTTTGCCCCTTTTATTTAATGAGTTAAAATTTTTTGATCACATTTGGTCGGTAATTTGGTCGGCGTGACCAAAATTGATAAGAATTACATAGTCAAAGTACTAAATTAACATTTTTGAAAGTCAAGTGTTGCAATTAACACAACTACAATAGTCAATGGACCAAAATTGAAATTTTCTCTGAATTTCTTTATGATATTTGTGATATAATCTTGATTGATTGATGTGATGATTTTATGAGGGAACTTGATGATCTTGATGTTAAAAAAGAGGTTCTTGATATTTATGTGATGATTCTTGATAAATCTTGATGATTCTTGATAATGGAAATAAAATATGATTTTGAGGTTTTGGGTGGGATTAGAGCCCTAGGTTGGATTGGGAATTTGTATTGTGATGTTCTTGATTTATATTTGGGTGGGGATTGGAATTCTCAGGTGTTGTTCGTGTCTAGAAATCATGTTAGGATATGTTCAATATGATTCTTGCGTTCGATCCATTAATTGCCTATGTGGTGTCGTTAATTGCGTTTAAAAGTGTCTAAGCATGGTTTCGGGTTCCACAAAGGATCCCGGGACGTTTATTGAGTTAAAAGAGTCAGTGGGGAGTAGGTGGGGGCAGGGGTACCCGCCACCTACCCGCTGCACGAAAATCACCGCCAGGCAGCGGGCAGCCGCCGGGCAGGCGTTCGCCCGCCGGCAATCCGCTGCCCGGACGATGATCTCCGGCGGGTGGCCCTCCACCCACCGGCTACCCGCTGGTTTGTCACCCACCCCAGGTCCTCGGCTTCCCCGTTTGATGTTTCCCATTCCCCGTGCTGTCCCAACAGACCCAGTTTGTCGTACTTGAGTCTAGTTTGATGTTTCGGGTGCCATTCGTAGGTTAGAAGAGTCTTAGGAATTACATGCTAGTTGAACCGGTCCCCGTCGACCTAGATGGAAGTGGTATGAACCCCTTAGGACTATTCTTAGTATGTGAATGATCACACATAAGCTTATTTATGCGTCTCCCCCTTCCCAATGTGCTATTATGTGTTAGTATGTGTTATGTGATGCATGTTTCCCCAATTTGGTTGCGATCAAATTGGCTATATGGGCAGTTGGATGGGTTGAGAACCATACCAACTGTTAACTAGGCCGGTTGCGATCGGTCAGGTATATAAACATTATATAGGGCTGCGGTCCACTGTTTGGTTACACATGAGCTGCGGTTCATTCTACTGGCTGCGGTCAGTGATTCACTTCTTGGGCTACAGCCCATGGGCCTCGTGTGCGGATGGTCCACCGACTGGACGCGCCAGCGGTGTGTAGGCCACCAGCCTGAGGAAGAACATAGCCCACCGACCGAGTGATCGGCGGTGTGTAGGGCTATGGTCGGCTGCGATCCACCGACTGAGGGCCAGCGGTGTTTAGGGTCGTAGTCTTCGAGGATCATCGCCCACCGACTAAGATCCTCAGCGGTGTGTAGGGCTTTCGCCCACCGACTAAGGTTCTCAGCGGTGTGTCGGGCTTGATTCACTACGATCCACCGACTGGGCTCATCAGCGGTCTTTAGGGTCGTAGTCCCAGTAAGAGGATCATAGTCCACCGACTGAGCGCGTCAGCGGTGTGTAGGGCTGTGATCCACCGTCAAACTGTTGACGGTCTGTACGGTTGGTTGCGATCAACCCCCCTCATGCTGCGGTATGAGGTAGTGTGCTGCGGGGCCATGTTAGCGCTAGACGCACTAACTCGCATGTTCAGGGCATGTGATTGGTCCCGTGGCGCCACCAAAGTGTGCTTATGTGATTTGAATGTTGATTTGAATGATGATTCGAATGACGAATGAATGATGATTGAATGATGATGTGGATGATGTGAAAGTAAACTGTGACCTTAAGTATATGTTCACTATAATGTTGTCTCTATATAACTGCTTATCATGATTGAATGTGCTTACCCCTACTTGCTGAGTCTATCCCTGATTTTAAAGCTAGAGTCCCCTAAGTATATCTCTTCCTGCTTCAAAATGGTTTTCGTATCTCTATACATATATATATATATATATATATATATATATATATATATATATATATATATATATATATATATATATATATATATATATATATATCTACCTATATTGTATTTCAACGCGTTGGAGTGGGTTACCAGCATCACTCGCTGAACAAATATATTTGGCTTTCAGGCACAGATGAGTAGACACCGAAGTGCGCTAAAGATCCGGAGTGTAGAATAGTTAGTTTTCCTTTCGGCCTGCGTGCCATGTTTATGTATTAACATTACTTTGAGTTTGTTTAGTTAGTTTAGCCTGTGCATCTGAATTTTCCAGCTCAGATGTGGCATAGCACCCCGGCTCTATATTTGGAATGCTTCATTTGACATCTATTTAATTGAATTGCTTTCATATTATAAGATCAAAAAGTGTTCAAAATTTCGGGGTGTTACAGTTGGGGCTGGTGGTTGCTGCCATCGTGAGGGTGGCGTGAGAGAAGGCGAGGGTGGTGGTGCGTTGAGGGTTCACCAGCGGTGTTCGAGAGAGAGGGAGAGAGAGACGTGACGGAGGGGGAGGGGGAAGAGGATCGTAGGATACGTATGTGTGTATGTATTTCGTATTGTATGTATACCGTACGGGTAGGAGTAATGTATGTATGTATATATATATATATATATATATATATATATATATATATATATATATATATATATATATATATATATATATATATATATGGATGTCAATTTAGCCCGAACTTGATGGGCCAACCGAAAAAAAATCGAAACTGACAGGACTATGGCCCGAACGGGCTAGCCCGATAAAACACATTAGCCCGACGAGCCCGAAACCGATTAGCCCGATGCCCGATAGGGCAAGTCCGAAATTAAAAGGGCTAGCCCGACAACCCGAACAATTGAAAACTATTCTTTATTATAGAAGTGATGTGAAACCTAACATATATGGAATAATTATTATACTTTAAAATATATATATATATATATATATATATATATATATATATATATATATATATATATATATATATATATATATATATATATATATATTGAAATATATAAAAGCGCAGCACACAGTGACGTTTAAAGCTAACGTTTGTAACACAAATGATATGTAACGCAGTTTGGGCAATCAACCCTAATCTGCGAGGCACTTCTCAATTTGAGAACTTGCCTAAATCCACTAAAAGCTCAATATTTAAAGTACACTGTTAGGAACCTGAGATTACACAATAGAATGATCTTTCCTACCAAACTATTGAAACCTAAACACATGTACTACTTTCTAGGGGAATTTAGTATCCTATTCTCAAATACTCTCGTACCTCACAATTAGATCTTGAAAGCTTGAGTTCTACAAGAAAGGACAACCCCTATTTATAGTAGCTATTCCTAACAGATTCGTGAATAATAAAGTTATTCCTAATCAGACTAGAATTAAAAACTTCAATAACAATTCCCTTTAGAACTAGTACTCTTCAATAACTACTCTTAGGCTTGGTATTCCTTTATAGATCCGGAATTCCTTTTGCACATAACTTTGACAAAACACTTTGAGTCAACAATCTCCCCCTTTGTCAAATTTTTGGCAAAAACCTTGATCTCATAGTGGCTTGATTTCCTATTCTTCTCCCCCTTAATTGATTCCACATATCTCTGAGTGCTGTCTTGAATCTTTGTTTATGACTTCATCATTATTTTCTTGTTTTCTTGACAGCCACAAAAAGAAAACTTCGTTGAACATGATCCGGTCGAAGGTGGCTATTAGAGTCTAGATTGAAGGCCAGGATGGACAAAATACACGGCCTTGAGATTCTGCCGAACGGAGGCCGGATTGGAGTCGAAAAGTGAGCGCAGAGCTGAGATTCTGAGGAAAATCTCATTCTTCTCTACGTCGGTGTGGAAGTACAGCACCGCGTACGGTCTGTTCTCGAGGTCCGGGAAAATCTTCTCCCGAAGGAAATTATTCACGATTTCAGCAAGGAGAGGCAATTTCTTGGACATCTGGCAACTGTACTTGAGAGGTAGGGACCAGGTCCATGACGATCTTTGAGGGGTCATCATCCTCAATGCGAGCTGGGTTCGAGAAAACACCTGTGTTGGAGAGCTTTGATGTGGAGCCTCTTCTAGGTAATTTTGATCTTTGCCTGATGACGTGTTTTCACCATTGATGTTTCCTTGTGAAGATCTGTGATCTCTGGGGGACGATGATCATGAAGACTACGAGGACCATTTTTTTTTTTAAATTTTCGATTAATAACATCTTGGGCCATGGCATTGGGCCGGATTTGGGTCTGTTTATGAATGACATTTGGAGATAGGGCCCAAGCTCTACACTTCTTTCACATGTGACACATCCCAATTTCAAACCTTAATATTGCATATTTGTTACTGTCTAGTGCCTTATTAATGTTTTTTGCATTCAAACTTAGATATGTGGCAGTAGACTCCTCTAATCTTTGTTCCTTGATTGAGATCTCCTATGATATTTTCCAAAGGATGATTTTTCTGATTTTTTAAGACAGTAGAATGACTTTTATCCTTTTCTTCATTTGGTTCTGTTTCTGTTCTGCAATTCTGCATATCATTAGTCAGGGGTGTTGGAACAGTTGTTTCAACAACTCTTGGACTTTCGTCATCATCAGTGGTTATTGCTGGAGTTACATCATCAATGATCACACTGTTTGATGAATAGCCACTGGATGCTCCTTGGTCATGAAAATTTATGTGTCCCTTACGTTGGTGCCATAATTGTGTTTGAC